ATTGGAATCCTTGTGTATTTCTGGTAGGAATTTAGAATGATGCAGTTGTGGTCCTGTGCTCTGTGGTTAGAGCGTCAGCCTATAGACCCAAGGGTCACAGGTTTGATTCTAGTCAAGGGTACATACCTGGATTGTGGGTTCGATACCCAGTCAGGGTGCGTGCAGGAGGCAACCAGTTGATGTGTCTGTCTCACATCCATGTTTCTCTCTGTTTCTCCCTCGCTCCCTTCCACTCTGTCCAAAAATCAATGGAAAAATATCCTCAGGTGAGCATTAACAACAAATAAAAATTTAAAAAGGTTCAATTGCTATGGAAAGCAGTATAGTAGTTCCTCAGAAAATTAAACATTGAATTACTGTATGATTTAGCATTTCTACTTCTGAGTATATACCAAAAAACAACTGAAATCAGAAATTTGAACAGATATTTGAAAACCCATGTTTATAGCAGCATTATTTACAATAGGCAAAAGGAAACAACCCAAATGTCTATCAGCTGATGAACAGATAAATAAAATGTGATCTATACATACAATGTACTTTTATTTGCCTAAAAAGGAATGAAATTCAGACACATGCTGGTTGTGGATGAACCTTAAACACACTGCACTAAGTGAAATAAGCCGGTCCGTCACAAAAGGACAAATAAAAGATTTCACTTATATGAGGTACTTATAAATTCATAGAGACAAAGTAGAATAGTGGTCACCAAAGGTTGGGAGGGAAAAAAGGGAGTTAACTCTTTGATAGATACAGTTTCAGTTTAGAGCTCTAGAGACTTTTGCACAACAGTGTGACTATAGTACTTAATGTATATTCAAAAATAGTTAAAATTGTAACCTTTATGTATATTATACCACAATAAAAAAAACTACAATAGAATTTTAAAACTAAGTATCTAGCTTCCAAATTACTGTTGAGTATACAAAATTGGCAAAATAATATAGAATAAGAAACAAGAAACTTTTAAGGTAGCATAAACAAGTCGAATGAATTACAATGAAATGTTTTTAGCTATGATAAATAGAATTAGCATATACTGGCATTGGCTCATACATGCATTTAACTTAAGCAAGTGCAATTACTTGTATTTAACAAAAGAGAAGGAAACTTTCTTCCTTGGAAAATTCTTCATGAACTCCTTAAACTAAATTGGGTATACTTATCATTCTCTTAGGACTTTATTTTCTTAACAGAAAGAATCCACAGAAATAAAAGCAAAACAAATAATTTGTTTTAAGAAAGAATTTTATTTACTTATTTTTCTTACCTGAGAACATGTTTAGAGAGAACAGGGGAGAGAGAGAAACATCAATGTGAGAGAGAAACAGATTGGTTGCCTTCTGTACGTGCCCCTATTAGGGATCAAACCTACAACCTAAGTATGTGCCCTGACCAGGAATCAAACTGGCAACCTTTTGGTACACAGGACAACACTCATATAAGTGAACCACTCCAGCTGGGCTTAAGAAAGAATTTTAAAAGTGCAAGTGGTTTGTGCACTCTACACTCTGTGAGTATATTACCATGAAGGAGTTTGAAGTGGGTGGTGGGAAACCTTCATTCTCAAAATTTATTGTCCTCATTTGCCTTTTATAGTTTAAGCATCTTATCTTTATTTTGCTTTCCTGAGTGTTATTCTGAAATGTCTTTTTGGTGCAATATGGCCTCTAAACCCAAGCCAGGTTCTTCATCAGGTGCTCAGATGCAGGCACAGTGATTTGTTGTAAGCCAGGAGGAAAGAGTGAACTCTGATGGATTTATTGAGCAGACAGGATATCAGTTTCAACACGGTGCCTTAGAAACCTTCAAGGGTAATTTTGACTTTGCTGTTTTTAAACGTACCTTCTGACTTTAAACTCTAAATTCCGTTTAAAATGTATTTCTACTTGAGTGAATAAAAAGATATGAAATTATACATTGTGATCCTAGTATATATACACTTAGAATGATATCTAACCAACATTTTTTCAAAAAATCATTTTCTGCATACTTCTCTGAATTGTCTAAGATAACCAGGTTGATTTTTTTTTTTAAGGTGACAGAAAACTTGCAGCTTATGTTCACTTGTTTTTTCAATCAAAAGGTATTAAAGCTCTTACTGTGTTCCTGACAGATACTGTGCTACATTTACAGGAGTGTGGAAAATAAACATGGCCCCTGTGATCATGATTGTATGTTGAAGTGGAGAGACAGATTAAACAACTAGACTACAAATAAGGACAGTACAAATGATGAGTGTTAAGAAAATAAAGAGTCCTAAGAGAATAACAAGAGGACCCAGTTTAGTTTTAGGAGCTTGTTAAGGATTTTCCAAGGAAGAAGAAACATTTGAGCTGAGACTTGGAGGATAAGGTGAGTTAGGAAGGCAGAGTTGAAGAATGAGTGTGTTTTGGCCAAAGCGAACAGTATGGCCAAAGCTACTGAAGCAGGGAAGTTGAATGCATTTGACAAATGAGAAAAGGCTGTGTAGTTAGAGCAGAGTGGTAGCTAGATGTGGTTAAATATGGTAGGTCCAAGATCATGCAGGGTCTTGTAAACCATGTTAAAGCATTTGGATTTTATTCTGGTAGGCAACTGTGGTTTGATTTACATTTGTAAAATTTATTCTGGATAATATCTTGTAGATGGGAAGACAGGGAGCCATAGTGGGGAGGGTCAAGAAGTGGAAATAAGAGTTAGAAGGCTGCTGTAGTCAGTACCAGAGATGGTAGCTAGTATCTAGGATTAGACTGACAGTGATACAGGTGGAGAGAAGTGGATACAGTCACCACAAAGAAGGTGGCACCATTCACATCATAAACATATGCTGCTGTTTTATGAAAACACACAGTGGGCAGGAAAGTTCCAGATCCCTGTTAGAGATTTGAAGTAATAGTGTTAACTTTCTTCCTGCCCCAAACATAAATCTACATTTATATAGCCTATAGCTGTGCACGGGTGCAGGAAAATAAGTACCCATACACTCATTGGCATACACACATGCTTGTGGCTCTACTCTCTCAATTACCTCTCAGCTCCACTGAGATTGGTTCTCTTGCTCATCAACCCACTGCTGTCAGGAACTTAATTAGTATTCCCCACCTCTGAACCTGACGTAGTCACCTTTCTTGAAGAATGAAAGGTGGGGGTGAAGAGTGTGCATAAATATGTTGCCGGCAGTGTGTGTTCTGTTTATCTGGAAGTAGTTGTGAGGAGAGTGACCCCATGTATAGTTGTATAGTACCACGGTATATAATAATTTTTTTGTAATTAAGGAAGGGGCTGTTTTTCTAATAAAAAAAAAAAAATACTGTAAGAGCTAGCTGTGTCCTAAATGCTAGAATCTGAAGCTCAGAAGAAAGGTTCCAGTTAGAGATTTGTATTTGTTGATCATCAGCATATAGATAGCATTCTGTACATTGCTAATCTGTGATTTCACCGAGGATTTTAAGAAAGCCCAGTTTTGACCCCTTGAGGAACTCTGAGGATGAGAGATTTGGTAGAAGAAAAGATACTAAGGATTTGCCAGAGAGGTAGGGAGCAATCCGGAAAAAGTGATGCCACAGAAACTGAGAAGATCAGATAGAATCAGTGCTATGGCCAATAAGGCTTTGTAGGATTCTTACAATCTGACTTGAAAAATTCTTCATGGTTTATTAATATTTGTATTGTACTTAGGATACTGATACCCAGCTTTTATTGCATATCCATTTTAGTTACTGAGAAAATGAATGAAGTACAGAATCTCAGATTAGAAAGAAAACATTTTTGTAGAAGATAATTCTAAAGTTACTACAAACTCTTATAGATCCAGGGATGTTCTTTTGTTGCTTATATATGGCATAGATAAACTTCTCTTACCAGATAGAGGAACATTAAAATAAAATAAAAAGTTTAAAATTTTGTATTTCTTATTACATAAAAGGTTCCTTTCAATGTTTTGTTTCTTGTATTGTCAGATTAATCTTCCTTTATTAAAAAATAACATTTTCCTTTATTAAAAAACTTCACGATGTTACAGTTCACATACAATAAAATTTACACTCTTTTTTTCTTTTTTTAATTGTCACCTGAGGATATTTTTCTATTTATTTTCGGACAGAATGGGAGGAAGAGAAAGCGAGAGAGAAACATCAACCTGAGAGGGACACATTGACCAGGGCTGGGGCTGAACCGTAACTGAGGTATATGCCTTGGTCAAAATCGAACCCAGGACCCATTGGTCCATAGGCCGATGCTCTACTGCTGAGCCAAACCAACCAGGACAAAAATTTACACTCTTAACTTGGGATTCCATGCTGTGCTGAATTTTGTCCCGAACAATTATTTTTGAATATTTTCCACAACTCTCTCCCTTGGGTTCTGTAATCCAGCCTGACCACAAATGTGTCTCCTGTTCTTATATACTCTGCTTTTCTGTCTACTAATGCTTGTCTGCCTGAAATGACTTTATTCTTTCCTCTGTGTTTTTATACAGTGTACTTTTTTCCCAAGGTACAGTCTATTTTCTCTTTCCTCTGAAAACCTTCCTGAGCTGAAAATTGTCTCCCTTATGAACTATTAGTCTACTTTTTTTTATTATTAATTTTTTACCTTTATTGATTCCAGAGAGAGAGGAAGGAAGAGGGAGAGAGATAGAAACATCAATGAGAGAGAACATTGATTGGCCACTTATTGCATGTCTCCAATTGGGGATTGGGCCCACAACCTGGGCATGTGCCCTGACCAGGAATCGAACCGGCGATCTCTTAGTGTATGGATCGATGCTCAACCACGGCCTGGCTGAACTATTAGTCTACTTTATATATCTTCTCTTGTCATTTGCTTCGCCACCTTGTATTGTTGCAATTTATTGTACATGTCTGACAACTTCAGTTTGACATCTTCTGATTACCATACAACATTCCAATTGTAACGCCCTTTTTTTTTTTTGAAGTGGTTTAAGAGATAAATTTTTGTCTTTCTTCAGCTTCATGTCTATATTTTTGTTACTTGTACTACTTTCCCATTTTTCTTAGGATCCAATGATGCCATTGCTCCAGACTTCCCGGCTCAGGTGCTAGGCACGAGAGATGATGACCTGGGATTCCCTGTTAATATTAAACATAAAGAGGGGATCTATAGTAAGAGGGCGATGACTAAAGCATCCTTATCAAAGGGAAAAAAAACCTTTCAGAAAGATAATGCAGGTAACTGGATTGGTTTTGTATATTTTGTGGCCTTTTTCCCCCCATTCATCCTAAATGAGAACATTGTTTAATCTTTATCTTTTTCTGCTTTGTTATACAGACTTTTTTCTTAGCTATTTTATTGGGTGTATAGAAAAAGATAAAATATTTATAAGTAATATTCAACCAAGTATGTTTTAGAGACTAGAATCCATTGAAAATCTTGATTAAATTGCCTGATGAGTTGTCAGATGGTGCAAAACTAGTGGCAATTTGGTAGACATAGATAACCCTGTGATTCCACTGACAAACAGTTGAAGATGGGAAAAATATGGAAAATTTGGCAGAGAACAAAGTGATAGAATAAGGGAACTCTTTCAGAAGTCTGCACAAAGAACTCACCAACTATATTACTCCTAGGCTGCAGTTGGTAAGGATGATGCATTTGAAATAAAGTTGGGCTCTGTTACCTAAGAGACCTCCATAACCTCCCACCTGTTAATGAGGGTCTACTAATACTATAATTGTTCATTTGCTTTTAAACTTTGCATCCTAAGAAAAAGTCCTCCTCCTGACTTAATCTTAATGCCTCCATTTCACCATAGGAAAAGTACAGCCTTAGAATCTTATCTTAAAGGATTACAAAGGATAGGGGGCTGCCTGACTAATGACCGATGTATAATAGCTAGGTGATCTCATAAAATATGTCAGAAATAAAAGTCAGTGGAAGGGTTGGAATAAAAAAGTGAGAAAATCTCTTAGAAAATAGAACATGAAAAGAAGGGAAAAGGGAAAAAAAAGGAAAAGTCAAGATTGGCCAAAAGGTTCAACATCATAAAACAGGTGTTCCAAAGAGACAATAGAGAGTCAGTTGATTAGAGCCATATATATTAGTGAGAGTAAATTTCTAAATCATAACATTGAGTGAAAAAGGCATGTTGCTTGAAGATACATAGAGTATTATACCATTTATATAAAGTTTATAGACATACAAAACAGTCTTGTACATTGTTGATTAATTCATGCAATATAGTAAAATAATAAACATTCTTGAGATTAATAAACTCTGAATTAACTATAAAAATTGCTACTGAAAAAGAATGGTATCGAGGCTTTATACACGGAATCATTATAATCATTATTCTGTAATGTTTTATTTATGCTCTGTGGTAGACATGTTGGTGTTCATTAAGTTTTTATGTTCATTATGTTTTATGCCTTTCTGGTTTCTTTTTTTTGTAATCCTCACCGAGGATATTTTCCCATTTATCTTCAGATGGAGAGGGAGAGGGAGAGAAAGAAAGATAGAGAGAGAGAGAGAGAGAGACACCGATGTGAGAGAGACACATCGACTGGTTGCCTCCCGCATGACCCCAACTAGGGCTGGGGACGGAACCTAAGTATGTGCCCTTGACTGGAATCGAAACTGTGAGTCTTTGATCCATAGGCCAATGCTTCAACCACTGAGCCAAACTGGCCAGGGCATGCCTTTCTGATTTCTTTGTTGAAAAATATTCATACTTAGAGATAGTAAAGGACTTTTTTGTCAACCCATTGTAAAAACATATAATCATTATTAACTGGTGACTATTGTCTTAATTGTATTGGTAATTTTTAAATGTATTTACTAACATATTAGTTTGTATTTTTGTTTTTCCATATGATAAAAAAAGTAAAGAGATGTTTTTAAAAGACCAGTAAGATAGGTAAATCTCCAGCAAGTATGACCAAGAGAAACAGAAACAAAGTTTTAGACAAGTTTAAAAGGATTTAACTTAAGATTTTAAAAATTATATGAGTATTATATATAAAATGTACATGATATACATGCTTTTCTAGGATTATATGAAATATCAAAATTGGCTCTGTAAGTAACAAAAACTTTGAGTTACTCTGTAAGTAACAAAGAATTGAAAGGGTTGTTCAACTGTTCTTTCTACTTTGAAAAAGATACTTGATCTAGATTTTTTCTTTTTTTTAATTAATTCTCATCAGAGGATATTTCTTCATTGATTGATTTTTAGATAGAGTGGAAGAGAGGGAGGGAAAGAAAGAGAGAGAGGGAAAAATATCAATGTAAGAGAGACACACTGATTGGTTGCATCCAGCACAACCCCAACCAGGGTAGGGAATTGAGCCTGCAACCCAGGCATGTGCCCTTGATGATGAGCGAACCCGAGACCATTCATTCCTCGGGCTGATGCTCTAACTGCTGAGCCAAACCAATCAGGGCTAGATTTTTTTTTCTTTACTGTTGTATCAAACCACAAGGATCAGATTTTATTTAAAGTGATATTTTATTTAAACCATTGTACAAAGAAAAATACGGAAAGCTTTCCAATTCTTGTCATAAACCTACCATAACTATCACAGTTTTTATATAGTGGAGTCTAAGAGGTGCTTTTTTCCTGACATTTATATAAAGAGGTTTTGGGGTTTTTAGGGGGGAGTTGGAGGGTTTGGTTACTTGCTCTTTATGTTTATTACCTTTTCCTTCTCTGTGACATCAAATGATGTCATTATTTCAGATACCCAGGTTCAAGTTCTTATCACTGGCGATGATAACCTCCGAGACAAAAACCAGAAAAAGAATATCTACAATAAAAAGGCAGTGACTAAACCTGCCCAATCTAAAGAAATAATATTATTGCAGAAAGACATTAGAGGTAGCTGAACTGGATTATCTGCATATCGTTTTCTTCTGGCCTTCTAAAATAAGAATAGATGTAACAGTATTCTCTATTCTCTTCTTGCTTTCTTCAACCCTCTATCTTACTCATGTGAAACAAAATATTAGCTGAAATTTTTATTTTACATCGATAGCTATAAAACCATTTTTAAAGCCCTTTGAGACATTACTGGAGAATTTTTGTGAATATAGTATGCAAATTAATTTCATTCACAAAAAGTTCAGTGTTGCTCTGGCTGGTTTGGCTCAGTGGTTAATGCGTCAGCCCCGAGGACTGAAAGGTCATGGGTTCAATTCCCAGTCAAGAGCATGTATCTGGGTTTCAGGTTCTATCGCCAGCCCTGGTTGGGGTCGTGCAGGAGGCAGCCATTTGATGTGTCTCTCTCACATCCATGTTTCTCTCTTTCTCCCCACCTTCTTTCTCTCTCCCCCTCTACCACTTCCTCTCCCTCTCTCCCATGCTCCCTCCCTCTCTTCCACTGTCTCTAAAATAAATAAATGGAACGATATCCTCAGGAGAGGATTAAGAACAACAACAAAAAAGTTTCATGCCATTAAATGCTGACTTGGTAACACCATTGTCTTTGTGCTTGAGGAATTTAGCGTGTTTACTTTCTTAACTACCTATCCATCCATAGTCAGTTGGACTATGTCGATTAAAAATGCCTATAAATAGTGTGTTTAAGTTAGAATTTGTTTTGGCTCTGAGAGATGAAAACAAAAACAAAATAACATTGGCTTAAAGAAGGCAGGAAACTGTTTCTCTTGTAAAAATCTAGAGGTAGACATCCAGGCATTACATGGTATCAGGGAACACAGCTCTTTCTCTCCTTTTGCTCTAACATTTTTAGTTTTCGTTCTCATGCTTTAGCCATCTGGTTCATATTCCAGCCAGGAGAAAGGAAGAAAGAAGCCTATTCCTCCTATAAAATACTTCTCAATAGCTACATGTACTGTTCCCCTTCCATTCTATCGTACATACATAGTCACATGGTCACATCAAGCCATGTTGCCACAGAGGTTGGGAAATATCTTTATTCTGGTAAGTATAGGCCCAACTATGTTAGGGTTCTATTTGTAGAGGGAAAAGGAAAATGGATTTCAGAGGACAACTTGCAGTCTGCCACAATGTGAACAGAAACATATTGGAGCATAACTAACCATGTTATTTAAAAAAAAATTTTTTTTTTAAATCCTCACCCGAAGATATTTTTCCATTTTTCTTTGGTGGGGGGGAGGAGAAAAACATCAACATGGATTGGTTACCTCCAGCATGACCTTGACCAGGGGACTAAACCACAGCCGACTGGAATCAAACCCATGCACGACTCTTTGGTCTGAGGGACAACAGTCGAACCTCTGAGCCAAATCGGCCTGGGCTAAATTTTTTTTTCTTTACTGTTGTATCAAAGCACAAGAAACATTTTATTTAAACCATTGTACAAAGAAAATACGGAAAGCTTTTTAATTCATGTTATAAACCCACCATAACTGTCGTAGGTTTTACATGGTGGAGCCTAAGAGGTGCTTTTTTCCTGGCATATATAAAGAGGTTTTTGGGTTTGGAGGGGGGGGGGGCTTGGGAGGTTGGTTACTTGCGATTTGTGTTTATTAACTTTTCCTTCTCTATGACATCAAATGATGTCATTTCAGATACCCAGGTTCCAGTTCTTATCACTGGTGATGATAACCTCCAAGACAAAAACCAGAAAAAGAAGATCTACAATAAAAAGACAGTGACTAAGCCTGCCCAATCTGAAGAAATAAAATTCTTGCAGAAAGACACTGGAGGTAGCTGAACTGGATTATCTGCATATCGTTTCCTTCTGGCCTTCTAAAATAAGAATAGATGTAACAGTATTCTCTATTCTCTTCTTGCTTTCTTCAGCCCTCTATCTTGCGCGTATGTGAAATAAAATACTAGCTGTAATTTTTGTTATACATTGAAAGCTATAAAACCAAGTGTTTTATAAAACTTTTTTTTTTTTAAAGATACTAGGGTCAGGGCCTTTATTTATTTATTTATTTATTTTTATTATTATTTTTTTTTTATCCTCGTCCGAGGACATTTTTCCATTTTCTGTTCAGGTAGAGTGGGAGGGAGAGAGAGGAACAGAGAGAGAGAGAGAGAAACATCGATGTGAAAGGAACACATCGAGTGGCTGCCACCCGCACAACCGACCAGGGCCAGGGGACAAACTGCAACCGAGGTACGCGCCCTTAGCGGGAACCGAACCCGGGTCTCTCAGGACCGCAGGCCGACGCTCTAACCGCTGAGCCAAACCGGCCAGGGCCTTTATTTATTTTTATTATTTTTTTATTAAATAATTTTTGCTACAGTTGGCTCTACTTTTTCTTCTCATTGACACCTCTCTCCTGATCCCACCCCTCTCCCCCCAGTGTAGGTGTCTATGTTCATTGGTTACACATACATGCATTTAAGTTCTGTGGTCTATCTTCCCCCCTCCCTCCACCTCCCTTATAAAACATTTTTAAAGCCCTTTGAGATATTTCTGGAGAACTTTGTGAATATAATACACAAATTAATTTCGTTGACCGAAATTCACATAACGGACTGTTTTTTAAAAGTTCAGTGCTGCCCTCGCCGGTTTGGCCCAGAGGTTAGAGCGTTGGCCTGTGGACCATAGAGTACTGGGTTTGATTCTCGCTAAGGGCATGTAACTCGGTTGCAGTTTGTCCCGGGCCCAGTTGGAGTTGTGTGGATGGTGGCCACTTGATGTGTCTCTCTCACATCAATGTTTCTCTCTCCCCCCCTTTCTCCCTCCTGCTCTATCTCAAGATAAATGCAAAACTGTCCTCGGGTGAGGGGGGGGAAAAAAAGTTCTGTGCTGACCTAGCTAGTTTTGCTCAGGGGTTAGAGTGTTGGGTCGCAGACCAATGAATTGAGAGTTCGATTCCGGTTAGAGCATGTACCTCCCTCTGTTGCAGTTTGTCCCTGGCCCTGATTGGGTCATGTGGGAGGCAACTAGTCGATGTGTCTCTCTCACATCGATGTTTCTCTTCCCCCCTCTCTCTCTCCTCCACTCCCCACTCTATTTGATGATAGATGGAAAAATATCCTTGGGTGAGGATTTAAAAAAGAAACGTTCAGTGCTGCCCTGGCTGGTTTGGCTCGGCAGTTAATGTGTCAGCTTGAGGACTGAAAGGTCACAGGTTCAACTCCCAGGTAAGGACAGGTACCTGGGTTGCAGGTTCTATCCCCAGGACCGGTTGGGGTCATGCAGGAGGCAACCATTTGATGTGTCTTTCTCCATCGATGTTTCTGTCTCCCCCTATCTTCCTCTATCCCTCTCCCACTCCCTCTCTTTCTCTCTCTCCCACCCTCCCTCCTTCCCTTCCACTCATAAATAAATAAATAAATAAGTAAATAAATAAATAAATAAACAAATGGAACATTATCCTCAGGAGAGGATTAAGAACAAAAAAGTTCCATGCCATTAAATGCTGACTTGGTAACACCATTGTTGTATGTAAGTTTTTGTGCTTGAAGAATTTAGCTTGTTTACTTTCTTAACTACCTATCCATCCATAGTCAGTTGGACTATGTCGATTAAAAATGCCTATAAATAGCCCTGGCCAGTTTGGCTCAGCCGTTAGAGCGTCGGCCTGCGGTCCGGAGAGACCCGGGTTCGGTTCCCACTAAAGGCACGTACTTCGGTTGCAGTTTGTCCCCGGCTCTGGTTGGTCGTGCGGGTGGCAGCCACTCGCGTCGATGTTTCTCTCTCTCTCTCTCCTTCCTCTCTCTTCCTCCCACTCTATCTGTACAAAGAATGGAAAAATATCATCGGGTGAGGATAAAAAAAAAACAAAAAACCTATAAATAGTGTGTTTAAGTTAGGATTCCTTTTGGCTCTGAGAGATGAAAACAAAAACAAAATAACATTGGCTTAAAGAAGGCAGGAAATTGTTTCTCTTGTAAAAATTCAGAGGTAGGCATCGAGGCGTTACATGGTACTCCAGAGTATCAGGGAACACAGTTCTTTCTCTCCTTTTGCTCTAACATTTTTAGTTTTCATTCTCATGCTTTAGCCATCTGGTTCATATTCCAGCCAGGAGAAAGGAATAAAGGGAAAAAAAGAAGCCTATTCCTCCTATAAAATACTTCTCAATAGTTACTTGTACTATTCCCCTTCCATCCTATTGTACATTATATACATAGTCACATGGTCATATCAAGCCATGTTGCCACAGAACCTGGGAAATATCTTTATTCTGGTAACTATATGCCCAACTAAGGGTTCTATTTGTAAAGGGAAAAGGAAAATGGATTTCAGAGAACAACTGGCAGACTGCCTCAATGTAAACAGAAACACATTGGAGCATAATTAGCCATGTTTGTTATTTTTTTAAAAAATTTGTTTTTTTAAATCTTCACCCAAGGATATTTTTTCATTTATCTTCAGATAGAGTTGGGGGAGGACATTGATTGGTTGCCTCCAGCACGATCTTGACCAGGGTAGGGGACCAAACCACAGCCAACCAGAACGAAATCAGACTCTGGTCTGAGGGCCAACGTTCTAACCTCTGAGCCAAACCAGCCAGGGCTAGATTTTTTTTTCTTGCTGTTGTATCAAACCACAAGGAACAGATTTTATTTAAAGCGATATTTTATTTAAACCATTGTACAAAGAAAAATACGGAAAGCTTTCCAATTCATTTCATAAACCCACCATAGTTGTCACAGTTTTTACATGGTGGGGCCTAAGAGGTGGTTTTTTCCTGACATATATGTAAAGAGGTTTTGGAGGTTTTTTGGGGGAGGGGGTTAGGGGATAGGGTTACTTGCCATTTGCATTTATTACCTTTTCTCTGTGGAGTCAAATGATGTCATTATTTCAGATACCCAAGTACAAGTTTTAATCACTGGAGATGATGACCTCCGAGATAAAAATCAGATAAAGAAGATCTACAATATAAAGGCAGTGACTAAGCCTGCCCAATCTGAAGAAATAAAATTCTTGCAGAAAGACACTGGAGGTAGCTGAACTGGATTATCTGCATATCATTTTCTTCTGGCCTTCTAAAATAAGAATAGATGTAACAGTATTCTCTTTTTTTTAAGGATTTTTTTTTTGAGGACATTTTTCCATTTTTTGTTCAGATAGAGCGGGAGGGAGAGAGAGGAAGAGAAAGAGAGAGAAACATCGATGTGAAGGGACACATCGAGTGGCTGCCACCCGCACAGCCAACCAGGGCCAGGGACAAACTGCAACCAAGGTACGTGCCCTTAGCGGGAACCGAACCTGGGTCTCTTTGTACCGCAGGCCGACGCTCCAACCGCTGAGCCAAACCGGTCATGGCTGTAACAGTATTCTCTATTCTCTTCTTTCTTCAACCCTCTATCTTACTCGTGTGTGAAATAAAATATTAGCTGTAATTTTTGTTATACACTGACAGCTATAAAACAAAGTGTTTTATAAAACATTTTTAAAGCCCTTTGAGACATTTCTGGAGAATTTTGTGAATATAGTATGCAAATTAATTTCATTCACAGAAATTCATATAATGGACTTTTTTTTTTTTTTAGTTCAGTGCTACTCTGCTGGTTTGGCTCAGCGGTTAATGTGTCAGCCTGAGGACTGAAGGGTCAATTCCCAGTTAAGGGCATGTACGTAGGTTTCAGGTTCTATCCCCAACCTTGGTTGGGATCATGCAGGAGGCAACCATTTGGTGTGTCTCTCTCACATCCATGTTTCTCTCTTTCTCCCCACCTTCTTTCTCTCCCCTTCTACCTCTTCCTCTCCCTATCTCCCATGCTCCCTCTGTCTCTAAAATAAATAAATGGAACAGTATCTTCAGGAGAGGATTAAGAACAACAACAAAAAAGTTCCATGCCATTAAATGCTGACTTGGTAACACCATTGTCTTTGTGCTTGAGGAATTTAGCGTGTTTACTTTCTTTTTTTACTTTTTCTTTTTTTTTTTTTTATCCTCACCCGAGGACATTTTTTGTTCAGATAGAGTGGGAGGGAGAGAGAGGAAGAGAGAGAGAGAGAGAGAAACATCGACGTGAAAGGGACACATCGAGTGGCTGCCACCCGCACGACCAACCAGGGCCAGGGACAAACTGCAACCGAAGTACGCGTCCTTAGCGGGAACCGAACCCAGGTCTCTCAGGACCGCAGGCCGACGCTCTAACCGCTGAACCAAACCGGCCAGGGCGCGTGTTTACTTTCTTAACTACCTATCCATCCATGGTCAGTTGGACTATGTCGATTAAAAATACCTACAAATAGTGTGTTTAAATTAGAATTTGTTTTGGCTCTGAGAGATGAAAACAAAAACAAAATAACATTGGCTTAAAGAAAGCAGGAAATTGTTTCTCTTTCTTGTAAAAATCTAGAGGTAGACATCCAGGCATTACATGGTACTCCAGAGTATCAGGGAACACAGCTCTTTCTCTCTTTTTGCACTAACATTTTTAGTTTTCGTTCTCATGCTTTAGCCATCTGGTTCATATTCCAGCCAGGAGAAAGGAAGAAAGGGAAAGAAAGAAGCCTATTCCTCCTATAAAATACTTCTCAATAGCTACATGTACTATTCCCCTTCCATTCTATTGTTCATACATAGTCATATGGTCACATCAAGCCATGTTGCCACAGAGGTTGGGAAATATCTTTATTCTGATAAGTATAGGCCCAACTAAGTTAGGGTTCTATTTGTAGAGGGAAAAGGAAAATAGATTGTAGAGGATAACTGGCAGACTGCCACAATGTAAAGAGAAACGTATATTGGAGCATAATTAGCCATGTGTATTACCTTTTTTTCAAATTTATATTTTATTCTGGTCAACACTTAAAAAATTTATTCCCCTTTTGAATGTTCCAGAAACAGTTTTAATTATGTTACTCTCCTAATCTAAACGTTTTCATTGCCCTTAAGAATAAAATCTTGACTCTTAGCATAGTCTTTCAGAACAATTGAATCAACTTCCAAACAACTTTTCAAGTGCTACTTTTCGCATATTTTCTTTATAAATTCTGTAATCAAACCATATACTTGCTCTATTTCTTAGATGTTCAGTTGCTTTCCTGATTCCATTCTTTTATTTTGTAGTCACCTTTGCTAAAATCTTTTTCTCTCTTCATTTCAGTGTGTATTCCAGCTCAGCTATCTTCTAATACCAAGCTTAGTTCACTTTACTTCAGAGTCTTCATAGCTAGAATTAGTTTTTCTTCCTTTAAGTACTTCCACTTCTTTATCTGCCTGTCTCTAATGGTGTAATTCTTTTACTTTGATGTCTATATTTGTACTTATTTTTTTCTATTAATTCTCACCCAAGGGTATTTTTTCCATTGATTTTTAGAGAGAGTAGAAGGGAATGAGAGAGAAACAGAGAGAAGAACATCCATGTGAGAGAGACACATTGATCAGTTGCCTCCCGTACACACTGGCCCCAACCACACAGGCCCCATCTGGACAAGGGATCAAACCTGCAACCTAAGTATGTGCCCTTGACTGCAAATCGAACCTGAGATCCTTCGGTGTGTGAGCTGATGCTCTAACTGCTGAGCCACACTGGCTACCGCTGTACGTGTTTTTGTTTTTGTTTTGCTTTTTAACTCCTATTTAGAGCAGTTGTTTCTAAACACATTTCTGATTGCTCTTTTTATTTTTTCTTCAACACCAGTAATGCCTTTCATAGTAGATGCTGGAGAGGTATTTTTTTTAAATTTTTTCATCTTCCTGTCTGGATAGGTTGTTAATTGTCCTCTTTTAGGTTACAGTGATGCTGTTGCTTCAGAACTCTCATCTCAACTACATAGCACAAAGGTTGAAAGCCTACCAGACACTAAAGCCATTGAACAGAAAGAGGAGATACAAACTGACAGGACATTTCCTAAGGAAGACTGGTCAGAAGATAAGGAGTCCTTGCAGATAGATATTGAAGGTAATGGGATTGGGATGTGTGTATAGAGGGGAAAGGGGATGCTTGTCTTTTTCATTCTGATGAGAATATAGTCTTGCGATTTAAACAAATCTATTTTTTTCTCTCTTTTTTTTTTTTTGCTTTCTTATGTAAATTACTTCAGTGCTACTTTGTCTATGTAGATGTCCTTATTGATTTGTAAAATAATTGTTACTTCTGGGAAAATATATTGGCATCTTAGAAACAAGATTATAAATAAATACCTAAGGCTGATAGTATTATAAGTGAAGTATCATGTGTCTCAGTACTAACACAAGGAAAAACCTAAAGGTATTCCAGAAGACTAACAAAGACAGAAAGAACCTCAGTACAAACTTTTTATTTTTATTTTATTATTATTTTTTATCCTCACTCAAGGACATTTTTCCATTTTTGTTCAGATAGAGTGGGAGAGAGAGAGAGAAACATCAATGTGAAAGGGACACATTGAGTGGCTGCCTCCCCCATGACTCCAACTTGGGCCGGGGACAAATGGCAACTGAGGTACGTTCCCTTCACCGGAATCGAATCTGCGACTCATTGATCCGTGGGCCAATGCTCTAACCAATGAGTAAAACTGGCCAGGGCTATTTTATTATTTTTTATTAATTTAATAAATATTTCTCCTTTTCCCCCTATTGATACCCAATAGGAGTACAAACTTTTTAAAACTTAGAGTAGACAACAGTCAAGACCATATCTATCGATGTTTACTCATGGCCCCCTTTTAAGTCTAACAAAAGAAAGTCATGGAGGACACAAGCCGTTATTACCTGGCTGTCACACTTTACCTCTTAGAGCAGTGGTTCTCAACCTTCCTAATGCCACAACCCTTTAATACAGTTACTCATATTGTATGTGGGAATATCTGCATGGGGACGGACCTGCCTGGAGACGGATAGAGGAGCAGTGTCTCAATTCCTAAGACCATCGTTAATATGTGTTTTCCAGTGGTCTTAAGCGACCCCTGTGAAAGGGTCATTCAACCCCCAAAAGGGTCACAACCCACAGGTTGAAAACCGCTGTCTTCGAAGAATATAGAACAGTACCGAGATAAGAAAAGAAAGGAGTCAAGGAACTATAATCTATCTATATTGTATTTTCGAAATAGTAAAGGTGCTGTTGAACACATCAAGAATGTATAAGATAAATGATTTTCCACTAGGGTGTCAAGACTACATAATGAGGTAAAAACATTGTCTTCAGCAAATTATATTGGAAAACTGGATATCAACATGCAAAAGAATGAAATTGGATGCTTACCTTTTACCACACATAAAAATGAACTCAAAATGAATCAAAGATCTAAAAATAAGAGCTAAAATTATAAAACTGTTAGAAAACATAGGAGAAAAGCTCTATGGCCTTGTATTTGGCAGTGATTTCTTAAATATGACTCTAAAAACACAGGCAACAAAAGCAAAAAAATAAGAAATAAGTAATAGTACATCAAAGGACACAATAGAGTGAAAAAGCAACCTATAAAATGGGAGACATATTTATAAATCATGATAAGTGCTTACTATCCAGATTATATATGGAACTTCTATAATTCAATAGCAACAGAGAAACCCAGTTTAAAAATGATCTTTTCCAGAGAATATATTTGAATGACTAATAAACACGTGAAGAGATATGCTCAATATAACTACTCATCAGAGAAATGCCAATTAAAACCACAATGATATACCACTTCATACCCATTAAGATGGTCACTATCAGAACAAAAAATAATTGTAGGCAAGCAGGCAGAAAGATTGGAACCATTGTGCACTGTTGGTGGAGATATAAATGGGTACAGCCACTGTGGAAAATATTATGGAAGTTCCTCAAAAGATTAAAAATAAAATTGACATATAATCCAGCAATGCCACTTCTGGGTATATATCTAGAAAAAAATCAAAGCAGATCTTAGAGATATATGCACCCCTGTGTTCATCTCAGCATTATTCTAATTAATCAAGATATGAAAACAACCAAATATCCATCAACAGGTGAATAGATAAAGTGTGGTAAAACATACAATGAAGTACTGTCTTTAACAAAGAAGGAAATCCTGTCATATGCTATAGCATAGCTGAACCTCAAGGACATTGTGCTAAGTGAATTAACCAGTCACAAAAGAAAAAAATGCTGTATATTCCACTTATATGAACTATTGAAAGCAGTCAAAATCATAGAAACAAAGTAGAAAAGTGATTGCCAAGAGAGGAAGAGGGAGAATTAGAGTTTAGTGGGTATAGAGTTTTCAATATTGCAATATAAAGACGTTCTAGAGATCTGTTGCTTAATAATGTGAATATACTTAGTGCTACTGAACTGTACACTTACAATAGCTAAGATGTTACATTTAACATTATGTATTTTTTACCACACCAAAAAAAGTGTAAGATGAAAAAACAGAACATTGCAACTCTAATGGGTAGCGTAGAAGACAATTTGGAAAAGAAAGATAAAAATCTACTCTGTAAAAGCATACTCATAGAACACAAGGAAAATTTTCCTAAATGTTTTACACTCGGAATAGTTATAGAAGACATGAAATGTATTAAATAAAAGTTGAGATAATCATGAAATTTAGGAGATCAGAAAACAAATTGAAGGAAAAAATTTTACCAATTAAAAGAAAAAAGTAATAAAAGCAATTAAAATATAATGTGAGAACTGACAGTGAAAAGCCAACCACAGTGACGTCTGTTGGTGTCTCTAACACAGATGAAAAAGAAGAAAATGTATAAGGAAAACTGAACCTGCAATTTAAATGATGTACCAAGTCCTAGGAAAACTTTATATAATAATCAACACCCAGGCATATGTTGGTGATAGTACTGAACTTCAAAGAAAAAGAACAAAATTATACAGGCATCTATTCAGAAAAAAACAAAAAGAAAAATCATCAAGGGGACAGACAGAGGAAAAGGAAGTCAAAGGAAATATATGTGAGCTAATTTCATCTTTAAAGGTGATAAATCAAGAAATGCATAAGTATAGTACTTAAAATTATAAAAGTTACCTCTAAAATAGTTAAAATCAAATTATAAAACATTTAGAAAAATCATTGGATCAGCAGGGGTATAAAGGGAGGAAAAAAGCAAAAGTAAATTTGTAACAAAAGAAAACTTATAAAATGAGAGTATATAATACTATATAAATATATATGGGATGAATTCACCTATTTAAAAATCTCATATTAGGTTAAAAAACAAACTCAGGCCCTGGCCGCTTTGGCTCAGTAGTTAGAGCGTCAGCCTGTGGTTCGAGAGACCTGGGTTTGGTTCCCACTAAGGGTGCGTACCTCGGTTGCAGTTTGTCCCTGGCCCTGGTTGGTCATGCGGGTGGCAGTCTCTCGATGTGTCCCTTTCACGTTGATGTTCTCTCTCTCTCTTCCTCTCTCTCCCTCCCACTCTATCTGAACAAAAAATGGAAGGATGTCCTCGGGTGAGGATAAAAAAACAAAAAGAATAAACTCAGTCCGAATGCTATATAGCACACACATTGAAAATAAAGTAGAAGGGTTGAAAATAAAAGGAAAACTAGAAATACGGAGACATATTAATGTAGATGAGATTAAATTAAACACTAAAAATGTTACAGAAATTAAAGAGTAATGTTTTCATACTGATTTACAATCTACAATGAGGTCATAACACATAAATCTTTAAACAGGAAATAGCATAAAAATATATAAGACAAAACTGGAAGCATCATCAGTAAGGAAGTTGTTGTTGCCTTATAAAAGAATGAAGATGTAGAATTATATGAAAACAAGTCATATTGTTAGGCAAAAGGTGTTATGGGGAGAGGGAAATTTGCTTATGGGGGTGGGAATGCAAAATTCCAAAGCCCTAGGACCTTCATGGAAAAAAAAGGGAAATACAGAATAGTATTAAGGAGTTTGAACACACATACTTATCTCATATTAGATCTTAGAAATGAAATTAAAAAAAAAAACCACAAAGTTAAGAAATCATCTGGGAATAATGCAAATAATGAGGCTGATATAATAGATACAGGTAAATATTTGTATGCTTAAAAAAATGTTCTTCAGCCCTGGCCGGTTTGGCTCAGCGGTTAGAGCGTCAGCCTGCGGTCCTGAGAGACCCGGGTTCGGTTCCCGCTAAGGGCATGTACCTCGGTTGCAGTTTGTCCCCGGCCCTGGTCGGTTGTGCGGGTGGCAGCCACTCGATATGTCCCTTTCACATCGATGTTTCTCTCTCTTTCTCTGTTCCTCTCTCTCCCTCCCACTCTACCTGAACAAAAAAAAAAAAAAAGGAAAAATGTCCTCGGGTGAGGATAAAAAAAAAAAAATGTTCTTCAAAGAGCAAAGATTTTTAACTTTGATAAAGTATTTACTGTTCTCTTGTTTCTGTGCTCTTGGTGTCATATCTACCAATCCTTTGCCAAATTCAAGGTAATGAAGATTTACCCCTATGTTTTCTTCTGAGAGTTTTCTAGTTTTAGCTTTACATTTAGCTCTTTGGTCCATTTTGAGTTAATTTTCTATATATGTTATGAGGTAAGTGTACAACTTCATTCTTTTCCATGTGGATATCTTAGTTGTCTTAGCACTGTTTGCTAAAAAGAACCGTTCCTTTCTCATTGAATGGGCTTGACACCCTTATTGAAAATCAGTTGACTATTGCTATATGGATTTATTTCTGGACTCTCAGTTCCATTCTGTTGATCTACATGTCTGTCCTCATGTCAGTGACACACTGTCTTGCTACTGTTGCTTTGTAGTAGTAAGTTTTGAAGTTGGAAGTGTGAATCCTCCAACTTTGTCTTATTTATTTATTCTTTTTATTATGTTGGTTATTCTGGATTCTTTACACTTCCATATGAATTTTGGAATCAACTTGGCAGTGTCTACAAAGAAACCAGCTAGGTTCTGATAGAGATTGTGTTGAATCTATGATCAGTGTGGGGATATTGCCTTCTTAACAATGTTGTCTTCCGGTCCATAGCATGGGACGTTTTCTATT